TCTACTTGGATGGACGTTTTGTTCTATGGTAACGAGTCACAAATATTTATACTCAATATTTTTTGCTCTTTCTGTTAATGTTCATCTGAAATATACGTCTTATGACTACGAATTTGACCATTGTGTGGTGTTTCACGCTATCAATAAAACTACAGTCGCCCCATTTTAATGTCACCCATATACATGCAAAGCTTTGATTTATGTTAACCGTAAATCCAGCAAGATGAAATACATCTCGAGTATTTTGAAAGTGAGAATATAAATATCGTATTCGTATGATATACTGAACCAAAAATTTCCTCTACTATGCGAGTTTCTTCTGAATAATGAGATTCCTTCGGTTAAAATCTTAAGTTCATCTTTGTACAGTAATCTCTAAACATTCAGCGCTATGAACAGAGGAACATTGCATCGAATATTAGGAGAAGCACAAACAATGTATTTTCTTTTAAACCGATATTTGTGGAATAGGTAATGGAAAATGATGAGCAGTTAGACGAAAAGGAGTGTGTGAGCGTGTAGCTCCGAGACGAAGAGATGGAGCAGTGACTGAAGAGTAGAAGAGTGATATTTATTGCTAAAAACATCCGGCTTAAATATCACAGTGAACAAAGAAAGATGACGTGATGTCATGAAAAGATGCCGTGCGGATGACGTCATGAGAACAGATGATGTCATGAGAACAGATGATGTCATGAACACAGATGACGTCATAGAATGACCAACATGTGTCGCCATATGTTCACATATGGAAAGAGAACAGAAAACATATGTGAGCATATGCGAGAAGAAAATGTGAAGAACGCAAGAAAATGAGACGCATGATGCTAACTAGAGGATGACATATATGTCATCCTCTAACAGAGTGTCTTTTATCAATGATTTTCAAATAGTGGCTGATCTCTATGGTGCATACTTTGTCAAAACTTCCCTAATTATTTCAAGCCGAAAATCAGTTAGATCAAAGGAACAATTGTTAACATAATCAACAATACGATCTGGTTTATGAATTCATCTAGGTTGTTCTCTGAACATCTATAGAATATATCTGAAGTATCTTTGCTTGCTAACCGTATACGTCACTGGCAGCTAAACAGTTAACAGAAAATAATCCGATTTTTTGCCCTTAGAGTGCCATCATTTTTCTATTTTAACAGATAAGTACGAGATGATAATCGTCTTTTGAAAGTCTCGCTTCATATTGCCATTATTCTAAAAATCTGTCCATTCGCATATCACTCATCTACTTAATAACCATCCAAGCAGCTTTTTAATTTATTCATCTACGCAGAAAAATAACTGTTGAATCGGTAAGTGTAGTGTTAACATTCGTTTATTCATGTTACATTTACTTTTTCTTGCTTTATAGATCATTGATCATGTCTTCAGATCTTGCTTTCTTTGCGACTCTATCAACCATACGAGAAAATATATTCAAATATGGTGGAGTATTTCTACTTTGTGCAGGCACTGTTAGTTGTGTTCTCAGTTTATTTGTCTTCAGTAAAAAGACTTTCCGAAAAAACCCATGTGGAATTTATTTGATTGCGACAAGTATTGCAAATTTTATAATGATTTACATATCACTCTTAGAAACGACACTCTCAACAGGTTACAAGAATGATGTTACTGTGTCCAATCTTAGTTTTTGTCGCATAAGTCTTTATCTAACATTTGTCTCTGATAATTTAAGTTCATATTTTCTAATTATGGGATCAATCGATCGTATGTTACTCACTTCAAGAAATGCTCTAACAAGGCAACGTAGCACTTGCCGTCTTGCTTATATTAGCATCATTGGTATATCGATTTTCTGGCTCATATTTCATATTCATGCCCTTATTTTACCAGATATTATTCAACTTTATCCAACGTATTTCGCTTGTTATTTCCCATCCGGATCATATTTAACATTTATTACGTTTTATTTACTAATTAGAATCATTCTGACATTATCATTGATGGTTATTTTTGGTTTATTCACGGTGAGAAATATTCAAAATATGCGGCAAAGACAGGTTTTACCTTCCGTCCAAGGAACAGAATCCTCAACACAAGTCACTGCGAATACTGTACGTTCAAAAGATCACTTACTTATCCGAGTTTTACTATTAGACATAGCTGTTTATATGATCTTTAACTTATTGCTAGCTGCTATCCTTCTGTATCAACAAATCATTCAGAATCGACCAGTTGGTCAGTATGAAAGTCAAGTTGTGACTTTTATCACAGGTGTTGCCACTTTTAGTAATTACTTTCCATATTGTATTGGATTTTACACAAAGTTATTCATATCAAAAGTATTTCGAAAGGAAGTCACAGCTTCTTTTTTATGTGAATAGAGTTTTCGCTACACAGAAAACAAAAGAAATGCTTTATTTTATCTTATATATCGTATTTAACATGAACTTTGATGTTGTATCGTGTTGTTGTTGTTGTTGTTGTAACAGTTAAGTCGTCTTTTTAATCAATAAATGCGAGAGCCGTGCGTGTTTCACAAAGTGAAAGAAATCCACTTGAAGCAAAGGATTTCACTTTGCTTCTGTCTCAGAAGATAAACTCATGATTATGAAATTCATGACAGACTTTCAGTTGGAAATACTCCTGATCGAAAAAAAGATTTGAAAATTTGTTACAGAGACCATTAGGACTTCCAATCACAATAATAATGATGCATCGAAAAGATAAATTAAGACACATGCTAATCGAGTGATATTTCTCTTTTATCACTTGCTCTTCGCCCTGGCAATGTAACCTTTATCAACTAAAGATAAGAGTGGACACTATATCTTCCCTAAGTACCTGCACATTTTTAAATATGTGAAAGGAATTAAAAAAACAACTATGGTGACGCAGTACTATTGTGTATGAGTGGAATCGTATAATTTGTATTCTATTGTAGCACGAGGAGTTCTCCAGTGTTCAGTGGCATAAAATGCAGTTTTTGCAATGTCTCTCTTTGTGTAAAACGAAAGAATCGTTTAAGTATTCTAGTAGATAACGGAAACAGCGGAATATCTGCTCATACACAACAGTTCTAATAAAGCTAACCGTAATTATCTATGAGCATATACACCAAAGTAGTCTATATCTTACACTTCATACTTAGAATAACGTAATCTGGTGATTTACTTCGATTCATCTTAGCGAAAAATAATTTGGGACTCAAAAGGTTAATATCATGATGTTATTTGAAGTATAATGAAATAAATAACGCTCGTCGAGGGAGACTCGCATTACCCTCGACTGATTGGATTGTACTTGAGATAAAACTTGCGCTTCCAAATGATGCCTCGGGAACGTTCCTCATCAATTTCAACCTTTTTCAAAACTAACCAAAGAACTGTCCTCGTCAAGAGTGGAAAAGCTATTTATGATTTTTGTGATTTAGTTGAGTTTGAGTGACTTCTGTGATTTAAAATGAGTTTAAAGCTGAGTTAAATCAGCTTTTTTCCTTTGTCAAAACTCACAAATTAGCAACATATGTCAATACCCAGGTCGATCATTCCGGTGACTGGATCCGTTGAAATCTGAGTCGGTTCCGGTACAGCTCTTCTCGATTCCGGCACAGTTTTCGCCGATTCCAGTAAGTTCCGGCAGGTTCCTTGCCGCCGGATTCCGGCCGGAACCGACCGTGTCAGAATAACCTGGGTACAAGTAACTAGTGGCGTAACCAAGGGTGGGCTAGGTGGGGCGGCGCCCAACCACCGGTAACTTTTTGGAAACTGATTTTTTAAAATTTATATATGATCATGGATCATCACATCGGCGTGAAGCTAGCACCAGATAACGAAAAATCATTAAAATCTGATGTTCAAATGGATTCCCGTACGTAGAAATAGGGTCTTTCGGCACAGAATTTAATTCTACATCGAATGGTGTCGTTTTTATCGACGGGAAAACGACTGAGAAAATTTTATACAGATTTTTTTATACGTTTGTGTCTGGAAAGAAAAAATCTAAATATAATCTTCTCAGTCGTTTTCCCGTCGATAAAAACGACACCATTCGATGTAGAATTAAATTCTGCGCCGAAAGACCCTATTTCTACGGATGGGAATTCATTTGAACACAAGATTTTAGTGATTTTTCGTTATCTGGTGCTAGCTTCACACCGATGATCATCACTATTTTTCAAAGCAGAGTGTCCTCTGTCATTACAATAATCATCGGTTTATTGAATAAACCAATAATAAGCATTTCACTTGTATTCCTGACTTCAGTTTACGAGAGACTTCATAAATAACATTGTGATTCTGGTTACGATCGATATTCTTACTGTTAATATGCAACCTAATGATAAAGAACGAAAACGAAATACTCTTCATTCCTTTTTTCGCTCGTCATTTAAGAAGGAAAAACTTGATACTACTGTTTCTCATGTTGATGAATTTGAGGAACAACAGAATCTCGTTTAAAAATACCGTTATTAACAGTACTGTTTGTAACGATAATGATATCGTTCATCTCTTTCTGTTCTTTATTCTCTCACCTCTATATCATACTATCTCCGGGTCATCTCTCTCTCTCTTTCCTCTTCTCTATATAAGTGCGTGTCTCATTGTGAAAGAGATACATTCTGGTCATGTAGAGTGGTCAATAAACATCGATACCGTGAGAAGCGATCAGTTACTTCTCAAAATTTCCCGACTAGTTTTTGAATTTATTGACACACTCTGTTTTATATCAATAAATCCCATTTTCAACGGGCTTTCATTTGGTAAAAAATTCATTAGGACTGGCACTGAAAATAGTATCGTTACCTCCCTGGAATAATATTATTTGCAACCCCGTATTGTTCTTAAAAAAAGACCTTTAGAGTTTTTTTCTGAAGTTCTTATTTTGCTTACCTTCGTGCTTTCAACATGAAGATAAGAATATAACGATACCTTTAGTGTTTAAGATTAAAAAAAACTGCTTATCTATTCTTATTTCTACGCGAACATCAGACTATAACATTAAACAGTTTGAATTGACGTGTTTGTTTGTAGAAACCAAATATGCATAGAAATCCGAGTTTCAGTGGATATACAAATAAGGTCATTGATCGACATAAATGGTGGCAGCAACATCGATTGAAGATCATCATCATATCGTTGGTTACTTTGATTATTTTTGTAATTATTCTTTCTCTTCTGTTAAAATTTGTCATTCTTGCTCCAAAAAAGTCACAAACTATTGCATCAACGACAACTTTGACCACAACTCAACAACCACGTAAGTATCAGAGTGATACTTTGTAATCTTAAAAATTTTAAACGAGAAAAGACTATCCATCGTCTTTTTTTAAAAATCAATACACTTTTAGAACCTATTTGCCAATTACCATTCGGTCCAGTTGATAGAATATTAGCTGATCATAGACCAGAATATGTCATATCAAGAGATCTTAACAGTGATAATAAACCAGATCTCGTGGTAACTAATCCGGGCGACAATAGTATCACTGTATTTCTTGGAAATGGAAATGGAGCGTTTAGGGATCAGACGACGTATGAAGTTGGCTCCAGTCCATCGTTTATTGCTGTAGGTGATTTTGATAATGATAATAGATTAGATCTAGCAGTGACCAATTATGCTGACAATAGTATTAGTATCCTTTTTGGTAAAAGAGATGAAACATTTCAGAATAAAATCACTTATACAGTTGCTGGTTCCCCGCAGTTTATTATTGTAAATGACTTTAACAATGACGAAAAATTGGATCTAGCAGTAATTAGTTTCAATAACGAAAGCATAAGTATTTTGATTAATGATGGAAATGGAACATTTCAGAGTCAGATAATTACTACACTTAATTTCGGTTCGAAGACTTTTGCCGCAGGCGACTTCAATAATGACAAAAAACTGGATCTAGTAGTGGCGAATCATGACGGTGGAGAAATTGGAATTTTGATTGGTAATGGAAACGGAACATTTCAAAATCCAATAATATATTTAGTTGGTATTAAGCCAATATATATTGTAGTAGATCATTTTGATCATGATAACATATTAGATATAGTAGTAACCAATAGTGATGGTAATAGTATCAGTTTATTGATTGGTAAT